TCCGTCAGCTCTTCGTCGTTTCCCCTCGAGGTGGGGGACGAAGAAGACAACGATTCGCTGTCTGGAGATAGAGAACTATTTATATCTGATAAACCAGCAACACGCTGAGCAAGCAACACTGCGCAGGTTCCAGAATACCATGAAGCCCTAACCAGCATCCGCCATTCCATCATCATGATCACAATAAGCAGAGAGAGTAAAACATATTACCTTTTTTTATAAGATTAAGCACATTTGACTAATGTCCATTTTGACGTATTCTAGGCTTTGATGAGTTTGGCAAATATAAATGACGTCAATCAACTTTGTACGGAGGGTGAAAACAGCAGATGAACATCTTACATATTTCTTTCAGGTTTCAGGCAATGGATTTGTTTCAGATAAAATAACAATGAGATTTCGTCTCTTAGAAGGCATGAAGGCTGAACCATGCATGATGTCATAATCACTACCAAATGGTACTTTTAAATTTCATTAATTAATTTAAACTATTGCAGCAGCCAAAAAAATAAATTAAACGTTAAGTCGATTAGTAATTCAGTCTCTCACTCAAATTACTGAATGTCATTTTTAAAACAGACAGAATTCTGGATCTGTAAATTAAAATGCCACAAACCATGAATGACATGCAGAATTGCCTAGACGACACATTATCTCGCAAAATCTTTTCTATCGTTACAAAACATTTCAAATCGTTTTAAAATTTTAGCTAACATTCACCTGTCTTTATCAACGTATGTCGACTGCCACAGCTGACGTCCAAGACCGATTCCTCGTTAGGAATCCCTATTAGCGTAGGTTCGGCAGCGACCAAAATCTAAAATTACCACTAAGGAGGGAACAACCAAACAACCACAATTACCTTTGTTTTATCCACTCCTAACTGCCCGTCAGCATTCCATCCCCAGCAGTATAAATCACCACATTCTGAAAAAATCACACCATGTAAATGAAATAATATTTATTTTACAGCTCTATAATAGTACGGGTTTGAATGAATTTGCAAACCAATCCAACTTGATTTTAAACCTAACATCAAAATGTTTTTCTGTAAAGCATTCTCACCGCTCTTATGAGTATGTACGCTGCTCGAACCACAAAACTCTATTGGTGTAATTAAGATGTATACTGTGATGCTGTTGTTCATCTATGTAAGGCAAGTATTTAAATACCATCGAGCTTCTTCTTGCTTAAACACACTCGCTTGACTGTAAAAGAAATTGGCAGCACGATTCTGCTGCGTAACTCGGATAATGGCTTGTAAAAATCATTCTCTATTCCAGTATTGGAACAAACGAACTCTCGTTTATTTTCTTATTCCAGTGTATCGACGATCACTCTGGATGTTAGACAGGCATTCCACCTGGATTAACTGTTCGTTTCCGGTCAAGTTAACTGATTAACTGATCAAAAACCATTTTAATCAGCTCCAATGACGCTGCATATCGCTGACCTACAGCGATAGCCATTCCGCCTTGCACAGTTGGTTTCGTGATCACCATGATGGCAAATCTCAACGTACTTATTCAGGTAAATTTTTTCAACCCCCCCCCCTCCCCCCCGTTGACGCTAGCCCGTGTAAAGCATGGCGTTGAGGGACGTTTGAACCAAGTTTGCCTGCGCTATCTAGTGACGGTTGTTGTAAAATCCTTTGTATATGGATTTAACTTCGCTATTACGATTCTGTTAAATACCCGCATGCAAATATACCAAAACTCGTTTCGCCTTCCTGCTAAATGTCAGGACAACGACAACCCTATGGGTGTCGCCTTCTGTTGCCTTGTCTGTGTAATAAAAGTAATGGTCCGCAGCAGTTACAAGCTTATTGCCGGCCGCTGCGTTTCTTGCATTGGAACTGCACGCACCTTTCTCTGATTAAGTTCTTCTGTAACCAGTGACCGTTTTCAGGTTCCACATAGAAAACTGCGCGCTCGGTACTTAGCACTGAAAGCTTCTGAAAGCAATGGTTTGAATATTCATATCCAATGTGATTACACGATACGTTGCAAATAAAACCCGATCCATTTGACAAATTGTATACCCTTATTGCCATAGGTAAAATTATGCTTAGTGGGTGATTTGCGGGAGACAGCTTCGCCAGAGCCTCCTTGGCCGTCCATTTCACGGTTCGCGACAGATCTTCAAGGCAACTGTTGCGGTTGAGAGTTGAACGCTCAACTGTATTTCGTTCAGCCGAACTTTCCTTTACTTAAGACCTTGCCTTATTTTCACGATTGGGACGGGAGTCTGAACTTCGAGGACCAACTCTAGTCGTAAATTCATAATACGTTAAGAGACTAATCCATTTAGTATGATTAATTTTGCCCTTATTTGAAATAATCTCTGACGAATGTAAAGAGAACATCGAAGTAACTGGAATTTTATAAATGAATGTCTTGCTGTCTGGCAGTCAAAATAAAATTATCCTAAAGTAGAATCAAAACGAGATAGTACGTCCGGGACAGCCTAATGTGAATCTTCAGTATTTCCTGTGAAGCATGGTGATAACATCAGGACACGGGAAAGACATAAAAGGACCAGAAAAATCAGTGATAAAACAATACGAGGATTCGGTTCAATTGAATTACTAACTTAGAAATTCCTACAACTGTTAACTCGCTAAAATGACTGACACGGGTAATAAATGTTGAATCTGACTGATCCGATTATTTCGGTGAGTCTTTATCATCAAAATAACAATTTTCAGAAGCAATGCGTAGAGTCCTGTGTTCTGCACAAAAATAAACCTTGCCAATTTTTTCAGCATAACCAGTCAAAGGAAAAGCATATGCTCCAAATGGCATGAGCAATGTAGCGAACTACCGCCCTTCAATTGACAGCGAACTCATCAAACGTCCTTCCAGAGGAACCATATGCTCAGTGTTCATATATCTGTATGCACATATTTGGAATAGAGATAGGGATATCTGACGTTTCAGACCAAGCTCGGTCCGTCATCAGAGTACATCTCCAGATGTAATTAGAGTCAAACATCAGATGTCCCTAATTAAAGAATATTTTATGCATTGTCTTCCCATTTGTTACTTACCTAAAGATATGTATATATGTATGACAGCATGTGGCAATGAATGAATGACAATAGACAAGGAAATAGAGAAGAATATGCCTGTGATCGCTGCACTGTGCCATCCGCCAGCACATACGTGAATGATGCGTACCCCGGCAAAAATAGTAACCGGAGTAGGCTCCGGCGCGGATTCGATGGTGCCGTGGCCAAGTTCGCCTCGCGTACCGCATCCGAACGAATAGACGATGCCATTGCTGTCTAAAATGAGACCATGTCCTTTGCCACAGGAGATCTGTTTGACGGTAGACTTTTCCGGTAATGGGATGTTCATCAGCACGACGTCATTCTTGGCACTGTCAATGCAATAGAGGTAAGCAGTTTCATTGGCATTGCGGACCAAAAAGGTATCCGCATCCGTACAAGCGATGATAGTGGCACTAGGAGACAATCGGTCAGCTTTGACTGTCTGGTCGAGAATCGACTTTAAGCCAAAATGAGCAAATCTATCGGTCTCTGGTAAATCAACGAATGATATATGAAGAAAGTCACCAGTATGGTTTCTCCATTCTGGGTCAGAGAGCCGTAGCAAATCGACCTCAGCAAAATTCAAGTCAGCAGAGAACCTCAATACGGAACAATCGTCATCCAGCAAGAGGTAAACATTCAGCCACGTGCTGCTAGCGTCAACGAACCGCTGACCAGTGATCAGTTTAAGCTGGCACTTCTTGAGTATGATATAATTTGTCAGGAAACAGCTTTCGCCTAAAAGAGAAAATAATTTCCAACAGTATGAAAACGAACGAATGGCTTACCATCAATTTCTACTGTTCCAAAACTCGTGTACAAAACTTTCATTGCCGAACGAGACGAATTCGAAAATTACATTTCAAAAGTTCTTCAAAGTATAACATCACCTAAAGCAGATCAATCCATTTTCGTTGCTCGTCTACAGACTTCTAGTAACCAATTAGTGACTTCATCACTGTAAAACGCAACTGTCGTGTGCAAAAGCGTTCATCTTCAGACAGTAAATAAACATAGTATGAACAAGGAAGCAAGACTTAACTGAATATTTCATACCTCCGTAAATGGTCACACTGAAAAATGTATAAAACAATACCGACTACACAAAGAAATTGGTCATTCAAGAGATCAACCAGTACCAATGTTTCTGCTCTGTTTCACGG